CCTTGTGGCACCTTAGACACTAACACATTTGTTAGTCTCTAAGGTGCCACAAGGACTCCTGTTCTTTTTGCGGATACAGACTAACACGGCTGCTACTCTGAAAGAAATGTCAGTGATTTGTCTAGGGTCATGTAGAAGTCTGTGGCAGAGGCAGTCACTGACCTCAGGTCGCCTGAGTCCCAGCTCTGTGCACTAACCAGGACACCAGCCTTCCTTGTATTACGTAAGTCTTTTGATTCTGAAGAGATCTGTGAAAGTTTCTGCAATTTCCTTGCACATGTGGCTTTCAATTGAAATTCTTGTGGTGTCTGGCTGTGCGAGGTGCATACACGCAGGTAAACAGGGAAGCCATTGATTTCAATAGGTTTAGAGTTTCAACCAACGGATACCAAATACGACAGGTCTCTTCAAATTCCCATTTGAGGAAAAAATGGGACACTAGGCCAAGATTTTTAAAAGAGGCCAGATTTTTAGAAGTTGGGTACTTACCACTATCAGAAAATCACGCTGTTTAAGTTGTTGGCATTATTAATATGAATATTTATTATGTATTTATTGGTATTACTGCAATGCAGGAGAGCCCTAGTCATTGACCAGGTCCCCATTGCGCTAGCTGCTATACAAGAGCAGAACAAAAAGATGGTCCCTGCCCCAAGGAGCTTACAATCTAAGTATAAGATGAGACAACCGATGAAGACAGACAGGGGGTACAAGGAAGCAATGAGACTATATTGGTGAGAGGCAGTAGTTGGACACTCAGAACTCGAGGCATCCAAAATCACCAGTCACTTTTGAAAATCTTGTCCATAAGTGATACAGTCTCCTTGGCTACAGGAGTTTGACGCTGATTCAAACTACTGTAGAAATACTCCATCCATCTCCAACACATGTCACAGTCCACGCTGCTTAGCTAGGGAGCAGGCTAGCTAGTACGGCCTTTGGGTTAACCCTATAAATAATTTTGATTAAAAATGGATTTCCTTCTTGCAGAGATCAATCACACCTCATCGTTCCCTATAAGTGAAGGGTTTATTCCCCTTCCCCCCTGTCCTGTTTTTGCGGGGGAGGGAGTACATTTTACAAATATTTCTGTGACCTTGTTCAATCTCACCGCCACTTCCTTTCTGCATTGTTGGGCCATAACAAAATTTCTATACACTCCTGTGTGTATTTGGAAGACAAAGTTTTCTGCTGGAACATGTATAAGAAACTCAGCATGCTTGGGACAAACTATGCACCTTTAAAATAATGGTTTTAAATGAATTTCAATTGAAAAATGGTAAAGATCCCACCTAAAGCCTGATTCTAGTCTAATCCAAGGATGAGAGACTGAGACTGACGTTATTAATATCTTTCTTTGTTTGAAAAGAATTTAGACCATCATACAGATCATCTGGGCATTACAAATGTATGGCCAGCTGGACTGACACCGAAGCTATTTGGGGTTAAGAGCCTTGCCAAATGTAATTGAAACAGCATTTCCCCCCTAGATTTTAATAGTCTCAGACTTGAGCTGTGAGCTGGATGGCACAAGTGATATACAAGTAGCCAAACCATAATGTCTTCTGTTGATTTACTGGAATGTATTGAATAACAAGGATGTATTTAATCTTCAGGACTCAATAATTTAAAAAACGGAATGTATCTACTCTGAACATGCCTGTTCTTTGCCTGGGCAGATCCTATTATAAGAACATGGGATTTGCCACTGATCTGGTCGAAATTAGTCTTGTACCCTGCCCCACTCAATAGTGGCCAAACATTAGCACTTAGCAAATTGTACAATGCTACATGGGGAGAAAAACATATTTCCTGCTCCTTGCAGCTGATCATTTCACACTCTGAAGCATGAGATTGGATTTACTCTCATCGCTTGGCCTTCAAAAAAGTATCTATGATGGGGCGGGGGAGAAATCTTAGCAAGTACAAGCATCCTGGCTACCCAAATTTCTCAGGGAGATTGAAGAACATTGACATTTGGCCTTGTGACATTGACACTGAAGCTCAGGCATGTGGGTAATTACCTACTGCCGCTGGATTCCTGGCTGTGAGTGATTGCTCATTCATCTTCAACTTCTCCCTCCCTCTCCCCCCTTCTCTTTCCATGTCCAGGGTCTCATCTTGCCCTGTTTCCACTATACAATGTTTCTGAAATGTGCCCCTTCTTCAGCAGCCAGCTGCCACAATACTAACTGTTACCCTAGTTATCTCCTGCCTCTTCTACTGAAAACTCACCCTTCCTGCCCTCCTGTTCTTCACTCCACCCAAAATGCAACTGCCAATGTAATTTTCTTCTCCCATCAGTACGACCTAGATCCCCTTTCCTGAACTATTTATCTTCTAAATCAATATTACACATTTGAACAGAGCTGGTAGGAAAAGGTCAATTACTTTTCAAGGGAAATTTTGGGGGGAAAAAAGGTATTTTTCTTGAAATTCTCCATAAAAATATAATATCAGGTTGTCATCAAATAACAGAAATGAAAAGTAAAAAATGTCCAGTTTCTCTAACATGCTTTCTGATTTTAAAAACTGTTGTCTGTAAAAAATGTTCCATTTTCAGAAACTAGAACGCCTCAGAAATTTACTGAAACTGAAACTGGAAAATGAAAATTTCATCTGAATTTTTTTTTCCTACAGAAAATGAAAAAATTTCCCCCTAAATTTCTGGGTTTTGTTTTCTGGCTTTTCATTGAAACATAGAAAACATCAATCAAAATAGAAAATGTTTATGGAAATTTTCATTTGGGTCAAAAATACCATTATTATTATTTTTTTTTAAGTTTTGATGTCAATTTTTGACCTGGTCTCCATTCACGTCTTCAGCCCGCACTGACATCTATACAGTCTGTATGTATCTATATGGAGAACAAATATTTACTCTTTAACCAAGCAGAGAAAGGAATAACATGATGCAATGGCTGGCAGTTGAAATTCTAGATGGAAATAAGGTATCAATTTTAATGGTGAGAGTAATTAACCATTGGAACAACTTGGTGGAATCTCCATCACTGACAATTTTTAAATGAAGATTGGATATTTGTTCTAAAAGCTCTGCTCTTGGAATTATTTTGGGGCAGTTCTATGGCCTGTGTTATATGGGAGGTCAGACTAGAGGATTATAATTGACCTGGCCTTGGGATCTATGGACCTTTTCCCTCCATCTCCACTAAACACCCTCTCACTGAGAGAGTCCCTGTGTCTCCCTTGCTCTCTCCTGCCTTCGTGCCACGCTCCATGCCCTTCATACCTGGAGCAATGTTAGCATAGGCAAGGCTCCGCCACGCATCTCCTTCAGAAAGCCCCATTCAGCCCACCCTGTTCTATGACAAAGATGAAGTCTAGTTATGAAGACCACTTGTCACTCCATTTCTGCATTGTGTTGCCCTGCAATCATTGTTGTTCTCCTTTAGCACAGCTTTCCTCTTGGGAAGCACCATGTGAGCACTCTACAAAGAACACCTACGAGAACAATGAGCACCGTAGCTGCGGTTACTTAGGGAGAGATCCTACAGGCCTGGAGGGGCAGAAGACACCAAACGAAAAGGAAGAGCTGCAGTTCTGTTTCATAGAGTTGACGGGGGGAATTCACTCAGGCCAAGCTGATAGCTGCTCCCCATTTCTCTCAGAGGCATGTCCCCGTGCCCCAGAGCCACCAGCGCTTAGAACCCAGAATACTCCTGTTCAGGTTCCTTCTTCTAAGCCCTTCTCAAAACCTCCTTCTTGAACGCAGTTTCTTAACTGGGGGGAGGGATAGCTCAGTGGTTTGCGCATTGGCCCACTAAACCCAGTGTTGTAAGGTCAATCCTTGAGGGGGCCATTTAGGGATCTGGGGCAAAAACATTGGTCCTGCTAGTGAAGGCAGGGGACTGGACTGGACTGGATGACTTTTCAAGGTCCCTTCCATTTCTATGAGATAGGTATAACTATGGGGTGGATTTTCAAAGTCATCAAGGACAGAGGCTTCCCACTGAAAGTCTAGGAGAGTCAGGTGCTTATCCCCACCCCAGTAATCTCATGTAGCAACAAAACACATGCACGCAGGCTCCCAATGTAACCCTCAAGACACATGCACGCGCCCCTCAAAGGACTGCACAATCTGATTGTCTTTGCTTTTGCGCTCCCTGCTTTGCTGTCATTTCCCACTCTCATCTCAGCCTGCATTGTGAGCTCTCCAGGGCAAGGCCTCCATCTGTATCTGTTTAGTAAAGCATTGTGCATATCTTTCATGTTACATAAGTAATAATATTCCCTCCATGCAAAGTCTGTTTACTTGGGCTTCGCACAAGGGAAGTTTGGAAAACATTCTCCTGGAGTTCAAAGCCTTGTTCCGTAAAGAGCCGGTTTTCTTTCTTTTCCTCCGTTCATTCTTTCCTGACAAAGAAGATTTATCTTCCGCAGCAGTCGATTGCTTTGTCACCAGCAAAGGATTCTGACTTCAGGTGAGGACTAAGCAGCGGGAAACAAAGCCAACACTTAAGGGAAGGAGATCCTTGTTCAATGCAAATGTGCTGAGACATAAGCGATGAGGGGAGCGGACTGCAGTGGGCTGTGGGTACAGAAAGGTTTCTAAGCAGAATGGGTGCCGCTCCTCATCTGGTGTCAATCAGAAGAGTAGTGTTGCCCTCACTACAGCGCCGTTGATTTACACCAGCTTAGCTTCTGGCCCAGTATTTCTCTCAGTGTGGCCACAAGGCCTGAGGGGATCTTGAAGGATATTCCCAAGAGAATCAAACATCGTCCCAGGCAGAAGAGGGTTTTGTATAGAAATAACAATAGCTGTGCTGAAATGACTCGGTGTTATTTCTATTACGCCAGAACAACTGGGTATTTGTCCCCAGTGGACGGTGGAGCCCAGAGCCTATTTGTCTTACTCAATTTTCATTCAGCCCTTACCCAGAAGAACTGCCATTGACTTCAGAGAGGGCTCCCTGACCCGGAACTGAGAACAATCAAAGAGCCAGGTCCCCTTAGCCTGTGGAAATACCCAGGGGAGGGGATCTGGGAGGAGCAGAAGACCTCTGGGAGGATTCCCTTGTGGAACAACCCCCCACATCATTCTGGAAGGGGTGGGGGAATAGGGCTGCCCCCGCGCCCACCAATGAGCTGGGGGTCAGCCCCAAACTCTGTGAATCCCAGGAGGTAGGAACCCTAGGGCTCCCTGAGAGTACAGTGCCAATGGAGTCACGCTATCAGTGCCTCCCCTGACCGTGCCTGTCCGTAGATGGGGGTGTTTTCCTGCAGCAAAGGTCATGGAGCACGTTCACGTGCAGGGTGGGTGGGGAAGAAAGGGAATATGTGGGTCCTTCCAGCTCCACCCGCAGCCTACCCTGATCTGACTCAGCCTGAGACCCATGACTACCCATGTAGCACAACCCTGAAAAGAGTTGGTCCACAGGTTCCCAGGAAAGGGGCAGATGTACCTAACCCCCAATGGGAACTGGCCTCATGTGGGAGGGGTGAGGAGATTATGGCTGTGTCCTAAGCAAATAGTAATAACTGGGGGAGGAGGATGTGGGCTTGAGCAAGGATCTCCTTATCCTGTAGCCTTATATCAGTAATCTGTCGTAGTATAACTGGCTTAGAACATTGGTTTTCAGCCTTTGGTCCACAGACCTCTGGGGGTTCACAGACTGCGTCTAAGATTTCCAAGGGCTCTGCACCTCCATTCAAACTTGCTAGGGGTCTGCCAATGAAAAAAGTTTGAAAACCACTGGCTTAGAAAACTCACATGACATGTGATTAAGCCAATCAGAATCCATAATATTCACAAGTGTTGTCTTTTTTAAGGAATGGTGATTTTTTTTTCTGGGTGGCTGGAATTGCGTCCATTTCATTTTTATACCTTATTATATACTGAAACATTTTCATCACAATGATCAGTGTCTAAGGACAAAGACAGCAACGCAGCTGTAAAACAACAGATTTCAGTGTCCGCTTTGAGAAACCAAGTTTTCATTGGTGAATACTAGCCAGTTACCCAGCAATATGACTGCCTGGCACCAATTCCATCTGATATCATTTATAGGATGCCACTGTACATGCACTAAAGCTGTTTATATATGTCATCATCATATTCTCATCATGCCCATAGAGCTCCAGCGTATTATTTCCCTTTAATAATTGCTGTAATTATGCCCATCTCATTCTTGGCTTCCAGAAGAAGCTGCCAGTACCCTTCGAGATCACAAAGAGTGTGAACTGAATTTCTTCCAAAGCTGCGTTCGTTCCAGCATCATGCCAGCTCTGAAAGATGCCGAGAGAATTTCCAGCTGATGCAGCAGCAACAGAGTCAAGATAAAAAGCATTTACACTCCAGATAAAGGTCTGGTTTTCACTGTCCTTTCCTGCTTGTTAAAGTACGATTGAAATATTTTGTACCTTGCCCTCTTTTTAGGGACAAACATCAGGGAGGATGTTTGCAGCTAAGTGACTGGGGTAGTGGGACAGCACTCAGCCGTCAAGCAAGAGATTGACACATGTTGCAGAAAGAAAGGGAATGGCTAATAGTTAAGGATTGACATGGGTCTTAAAATGTAGAGGGGTTAATCTCTGTGCTCGTGTTTGTGTGAGTGCTTGTGACAAGCCTGTAACCAGACTAAATTATTTGCCCCTCTCTTTATTGCTTATCAGTACAGTTTGCATCGCAATGAGCGTGTTATTAACAGTGCTTGTGAAACTGACAGCCTCTTAGTGAAGGTTCTCAGCCATGCAAGAGGGTGTCCTCGACGGCTTCTTCCAGGCAGCTCTGCCAATGCGCCACAATCCTGACCTACAGCAGCCCCCGCAGTTCCAGTCCTGGGAGCATGTGAACGATTATGAAATATGTGACAGATGTGTGGAGAGAATAAATATACAGGCCATTCTAGGGTAAGATCACTGACTGTCCCGTCTGTCCACGAGCTGATTAGGATTCGAATCTAAGTGTGGGGGCCCTAGTGCATTCGCCTATTGTGATGCCTTACAGCACCTTGCAGGATTAGGCCCTGTAATACAGTTCTGAGATTGGCACATTGTATTTACAGCTCTCCAGGGGTCAAGTGCCACCGGGAAGGGGGAGGAGACGGAATGCCTCCCTGCACTGCAGCCACTTTACGCAACATGGCACAAACCATCTTTAAGGCTATGAGAAGCTTAATATAACAAATGAGACAAACCTCAAAGTCTTATTTGTAAATGCCAGATATTATTATAAAAGGGGGGGAGGGGAAGAACAAGGGAGGCAGCTTTAGCTTCCCTTGGGATCTAAGCCGACGGATTTTAAATTAGAGAACAGAAGCATGGCTCTCTAGACAAGTTTGTTCTCCAAGGATATCTTTGGTTTCATTGCTTGGCTTTGTAGATCTAAATTAGGCTCGTGTCCTTCACAACCGAAGGGCAAATGCTGCCCAATTTATTCACTGATGAAATCTGGAGTTGATTGATTGACACAGTCCATCTTCTTCACTCCCTGGTAATCACTTAGCCACAGGCCCCGCCTCCCCTAAAAATACAACCTTGTCAGGGAGCCTGACCACAAATTGTAGTGTAGGCAGTTCTTTAACGATATTGCGTAAGTTAAAGCCCGAGTCTTAAGCACATTTATGAAACATTCTTCGTATTCCATTAGCCCAAAGGGCCCAACCGCCATTGTGCTGGGTGCTATTAGGGTGACAAGATAGCAAGGGTGAAAAATCAGGATGGGGATAAGGGATAATAGGGTCCCATAGAAGATAAAACCCCTAATTTCGGATGTCTGGTCCCACTCGGTTCTATACTTTCTAGAGCGGGTCTGAACATTTTGTTATTGTTGAAATCTGCCACTTAGTTGAAATTGCAAGGGTCCACAGAGACACGTCAATTTCAACGACATTCCGCTGGAAACAAAGTAGGGAGAGTGTCCAAGCCTGCAGCACCTCAGCAGCTGGAGCTCCCAGGGTTCCCAGCTCCCACGGTCATTTTGCCGTCCATCACAATGGTCATTTTCATTCCAAATCAGAACAAAACCAAATTTCCAAATCTTCCATGAAATGCATTGAGAGTTCGCTGCCCAGCTCTACTATTTACACACAGTGAGAGAGAGTCCCTGCTCTGGAGGAAGAGTGGCCTCCCCATGGGCACATCGCAGATCAATGGCTGAGCCAGGAGTAGAACGTAGGACCCCCTGACTCCCATTTCAAATGCCCTAACTACTAGACTTCACTGTCTCCCATAAACATGGTTAAGTTATGATTTGTGCTACAATGTGGGCCTTTATAACCAGGTTAGGGGACAATTATGATGCAAACCAGCTCTCTGATGTGGTTTTACTGCCTTATCAAACCCGGTCTAAAAGTGCCAAGAGCCGTTACAAGTGCTCCAGGTAATTTAGTGAGGGCTGCGCAAAGGTTTCTGGGAGCAAAAGGCAAAATTTGAACCCGTCCAAAAAATTACCACTGAGGGGAGGGCCAAGGCATGGGGGTTTGGAGAGCGAGCTCTTCACCCCACTCACCCATAGCAATAACTCCTGTCCCAAGAGGCTGAGCCCAGCTCTCCACTCCACGTGTTGTGACCTGGCACAGAGGGTTGCAGCATCACTGCAGTTTAGCCCAGCCACCTCCTCACCATGATGGAGGGGTGGCCGGGCCAAACCTGAGTGGCCCTGTGCACCAGGTGACAATGCCGCTCAGTTTGGGAGCCCTCTCAAATGGGGGCCGGGGGAAAACTACCCCTTTTGCTCCTTCACAGGCGGCCCTGAATTTAGTAGCATTACACTATAACCATAGAGGGGCAAACAGATGAAACCTCCTCACTTGGGCCTTTTCCTCTCTGGGCAGGCCTACACTACAAATGTACATTGGTACAGCTGCACGACTGTAGCACATCTGGTGAAGATGTTCTAAGCTGACGGGAGAGAGCTCTTCCATTGGCTTAATAACTCCACCTCCACAAGAGGCAGTTGCTATGTCCATGGGAGAAGCTCTCCTGCCAGCATAGTGCTTTCCACATGGGGGTTTAAGGTGGGGATACTTCACACCCCGGAGTGACACACTTATACCGAAGTAAGTATATAGTGTAGACCCCGTGTTCCATGCAAACCTGAGCTGGGTGTGGCTGTTTGGCCAGGTAACACCAGCACTCCCACTTTCTCAGATGCTATGGCTCAAGGTTCCCTATTTCCTTTGCATCCCCTTTAAACAGGTTTGTTTAATGGGGAGGGGGAGAATTGTTTCGTGCGTGGAGGATGGAGGTAGGAATTAGTAAAAATAGGTTTCATTTCCTACTCTCACAGAATGGGCTGGGGCCTGTCTTAGGTTACGTCTACACTGTCCATGGTAGCAAACCTCCCAGCCCGGCTTGGCTCTCCTCCCTAAGTTTCAGAGCCCGAACTGCAATGTCAAAGCAGTGTCTACACAGCTATTTTGAGAGCACTAATGTGAGCCCTGCAGCCTGAGTCTGGTGACCAGAGCTGGGAGGCTTGTTGTTGCGGGCTGTGTAGACGTACCCTAAACACCTCCATTTCACATCGACTTTAGAGGGATGCAATCAGTGCACTCTGTGCAAACATCAACTAAAAAAGAATTAGAGGTCATGGCTCAAAATGTGACTGGAAGTAGTTTGCTTGGCTAAACAGCCAGGAACTTCTGATTGTCAAACCTTTCCTGCAGTAGGGTGGCAACCGGCTTGCAGTCTTTGACACTGGGCTTCTATATTACTTGTGCAACAAACAATGATACGTTTTAGCAGCCCATTTGCCCCTGAGAGTCAATTCCAAAATGTGGGATTCTATCTCAGCAGATTCAGAGGCTTGGTCCAAATAAACACCTGAAAGTCTGATTTTCTCAAAGCTTTTCTGCAGCTCTCAAGACACAAATGTGGGTCAGAAATGGCAGGAGAACAAGTTCTACAACCTGGTGATGGCTGACAAGTCTTGCTTCTACTGAGCAGGAAATACTGGAAGAAGAGAGTTTCTCACAGGATTTCAGAATGTTGGTCCCTGCTCCAGGCAGCAGTTTAGAAGGGCTCACATGCATGAAAAAGACGTGATCAACTTATCTGAACTGCCTCAAGCCAGAAACAAACTTAGGTGTTGAAGGAACACAAAATGGACACTGTGCAGAATCGAGCACGTGGGTTTATTACGCACAGTGCTGGCAGAGTGTCACCTTGCTTATTAGGCTCAGACACTGCCAATCAATTGATTACAGTAGATCAGTGTTTCTCAAACTGAGATCGCCACTTGTGTAGGGAAAGCCCCTGGCGGTCTGGGTCAGTTTGTTTACCTGCCCCATCCGCAGGTCTGGCCGATCGTGGCTCCCACTGGCCGCGGTTTGCCGCTGCCAGCCAATGGGAGCTGCTGGAAGTGGCGGCCAGTATGTCCATCAGCCCGCGCCGCTTCCAGCAGGTGTCATTGGCCTGGAGCAGCGAACCATGGCCAGTGGGAGCCGTGATCGGCCGGACCTGTGGACGGGGCTGGTAAACAAACTGGCCTGGCCTGCCAGGGGCTTTCCCTACACAAGCGGCAACCCCAGTTTGAGAAACACTGCAGTAGATTATATGGATTTTCCATGGGCAGAGGAAAGTGACTGGGTAGGTAGTCCCAAACCCCTGGATAGGTCTAGCAGCAAGATGAGATAAGTACAGTAGCCAATAGTCAAGATTACATAAATCTACAGAGATTACATGGTTTTAGGTTAACAAGTAACATACAAGTAACATACAATACATTCAAACAATGTATAAAATGTATATTAGTATAAAATATCTATGTTGAATTCTGTTTTGGGGTCCATAGGAATGAAGTAGCCCTTCTGATTGTCCAACAGGTACATACCTAGGGGTTGAAACAAAAAGACAAATGAAAAGTACATGGCAATAAATGTTGTTTTTCAGTTGCTCATTTGTGTTTCTAAGGCAGGCACTGATATCTGTGGGAAGCAGGAGGGAGGATATCATATCTCATACTGACATGCTTGAACCCTTTCCATAAACTCAAGGTTGATGTGTGGGGAGAACATCTCTTTCTACAGAAAGAATGGATACAGGCATAATAGGCCTCTTTCATTCCTTTGGTTCATTTGCAGCTTTAGATAAAGACACCAATTATGGCTCTCCACCTGGCTTTTTGCTTCTCTTAGCTAATATTGGTCACTGTTTACTGGGCCTCTGGCCTCTTGACCAAACTCTGGCCTTTGGGCCTGTAAAAAGAGCTGACATAGTCTATCAGGTTGTTACATAAACAGCACATGAATTTTGGCCCTTCAGGCATGGGTTAAAGTTTTGAGTGAGGGTTTGGCTCAGTTCATATTGTGAATTGATGTGCCCATTGCTAATAATGGAACTAAAAATAAATAGAAGCTTCATTTTTCTATAGACTTGACAAGTTTATATATGGAAGGTAGAAATTCTTCTTACCGTCTGAATCCTCAGAAATCTTGCCCACAATGGGGCAAAAGTTTTTCTGCAGACAACTGTGGCTTTCATTTGCCAGTACCAAGCAGTTACTGCCTTGGTTTTATAGCTAGTAGAGGCTATGATCTTTGCTTCGCAAGACCCAATGCAGAAATCTCAAGATCACCTTCTTATTTGATTCCAATGCACTATTGATCATTTCCCCTCACTCTCAATTTTCAAGCAGTGGAGAAGAAAATCTATTGACAGAAAAGAAGGCTGGCAGCTGGTTCCCCTTTGTGTATTTGTCTGTATCCATAACTTGTGTTATTGACACCTTTGGTCTTAAATCAGCTTCCTGTTGATTCATACATATGCTTCTGTTATTTCAGTGCCCCGTGGGAGGAACCATCTCCCATCTGTTCCTCCCACAGCCTTCTGAATCTCAAGGTCTTTGATTGATTAAGAGGGAGAATTTCAAAAATACAAATGATTAAGTACCTAATTCCCATTGGCTTCTGAAACTGCCCTCTCTGCTTTGAAAATCTCCAAAAAATCCCAACCTTCCTCATGCCTTCAGAGGAAAATTTCTCCACATTCTGAATACATAGGTCCAGACTCAGGACCAGATTCGGGTACGTATACTTGCATTGTTTTCAGGGAGGTTTCTCACAGATTAAGGTACTATTCAATGTGAGTCGGCATCATCAGAACCTGGCTTCTAAATTGTACCACTCAGTTATCATTAGTTCAGAACCAAAGGCGTGTGTGTGTGTGCATGTGTGTGTGCGCGCGCGTGCACAAGCCACTATAAAGAGAGGGGAAATGGCTCAGGTAGTTCTGTGCTCCTGTAATTCTGCACTGTTGAAATGGTCCATAGGGGATGGACATTGCAACAGAGGTGCAAGTTAGAACAGCTCTATTTGGGTCTTGACACAGGCCGGGCCACCCAGTGCCTCTAGAGCTGGTGAAGAAATGAAGGTGGCACCTTACCAAACACTTCAGGCAAACTCACTGGTAAAGATAAACAATTACACAAATGTATTGACTACAAAAGATAGATTTTAAGTGATTATAAATGATAGGCAAAATGTCAGAGTTAGTTGCCAAAATAAAATAAAATATAAGCACGCAGTCTAAACTCTCAACCCTATTAGGCTGGGCAACATCTAGATTAAGCAGTTTTTCTCACCCCACTGGATATTTCTGTTCATAGTACAGAGATTTCACCCTTGAAACCTGGGCCAATCTCCTCTGTTGGAGTCTTAAGACTTCTCAGTGTCCTTGTTGCTTGCTGTGTCCTGTTTTATACCCTTAGTCCATTTATACACAAGTCCAGGCATGTCTGGGGGGTATTGCTGAGTCCCCAGGCAAGATTGAACAATTCCCCTGGTGTGGCCTTATGCAGGTGAGTCATTGAATTGTAACTCCCCTGCTGGACAATAGCTGTTGATGGGTTGTTTGACACCCCACCTGGGCATTGGTTACTTTCCTTGCTGTTGTCTCTGGGGAGCTAATAGCTGTCTGATTCCCCAACTTTCAGCATGTTTTAGTAACAACCATGAACCCCTCCCATTGGCATAGGTAGTGTCTACATTGAAGCACTACAGCTGTAGAGTTTCAAGTGTAGACAAGCCCTTAGAACATAATGCTATTTGGATGCTCTATTTTGTATACTGTCCCCAAAGGCTGGAGGCCAACAAATGCACTATACAGTACCCTATACCTCCTCTATTTCTTTTTTTAAAACCACCATGAGCATCAGCAACTGAACTCCTCACGTCCTGCAGAGTGCAGGTGTCATGCATCAGGAGAGAAAGGAAAAGCGACTCCCCGCGCTGCCTCCACAAAGAATTACAAGCAGATAAGTGAGCTGGACAAAAAGACCATTGTTAGCAGCAGGGCTTACGCTACCTTTAATTATTTTTCATGGAGGCCTAGCGGAAGCAGTTCAGCGCAGTTGTAGGGGAGCTGATTAATTTATGCTCTGCAGCAAACAGTACAGTTTACGTTGAGCAAGATCAATAATCCCTGCTGTCTATTGGGAAACTGCTCACAATCGAGAATTTGCAAGTCAAAAATCTCCTTCGTCAAGGTTGTATTACTGGAGGAAAGAAAATAATCAATCCGCCAGCTAGAGAAGATGTAGCTAGATCCGTTCCCGCAATTCATATATGCGGATGCAAGTTCCGTGGAGGGGTGGCAAGCTAAGGCCGTCATTCAATGAATAAATGATGGCATAATGAAAACACGGAAGCTATCATCATATAATAAAAAGTTGATTAACAGAGTTGCCTGAAAGCAGAGACATCGATTATAATTTTGTGCAGGATAAAAAGGCAACAATAAAAGTCACAACAGAGCTTCGCAACACGGCGGGCTGTGTTCCAGTCCCCATTCAGCAACACATTCAAGCGCTGACTGTGAAGTCACGGAGATCTCAGCACATCGTTAAAGTGAAACAAGAGATTAAATGATTTGCCGAATAGAGCCATGATTGTGCAAAGACTAACGCACGTGCTTAACTTTACACACTCTGAGTAACACTACTGACCTCAATGGAGCTACTCAAATAGTCACATCCCGGTGCCATTGACATCAATGGCAAAACTCCCATTGGTTCAATGGACCCACAGTGTGTAAAGTGAAGCACATGAATAAAGCGACAAAGAGTCCTGTGGCACCTTATAGACTAACAGACGTATTGGAGCATATGCTTTCGTGGGTGAATACCCACTTCGTCAGACACAGCGACTGACAAAGTGGGTATTCACCCATGAAAGCTTATGCTCCAATACGTCTGTTTGTCTGTAAGGTGCCACAGGACTCTTTGTCGCTTTTTACAGATGCAGACTAACATGGCTACCCCTCTGATACTTGGCACATGAATAAGTCTTCACAGGATCTGGGCCTAGGGTTGGACCACAGCATGTGCCTACGTGCATTGCTAAATCAGTATGTCAAACAGGCCCTGCAATATCTGAGCACACCTGTTTGTATACACAACCACATTTTTATACAGACCAACGGATATATGCACATGAGAGTCGGGTAGTTGTTCATCTAACAATCCAATGTTCACGCACAGAACTTTTTGCATTGTCGAATAGGTGCAGGGGTGCAAAACTTAACCCACCACACATTTTGTAGATGCAGCAGTGGAGGTTAGCTGAACATTTGAAGCTAACTTGTGCTGCATGGCATAGATAGAATGCTTGGCTCATACTTCTATACCAGGGATTGGCAACCTTTGGCACGCGGCTCGCCGGGGTAAGCTAGGTAAGCCTAGTGTTACTGTTCCATTCCCCCCAAAATCTGCTTAATTGTGTATCTATTTTTCCTATGATTGTGTAGCAAGGATCCTCCTTCCTGAGTGTTCAGAAAGCACCCGGCCCATGATGTGCTACCACAAATAGGCCTGGTCTACACGGGGAGGGGGGCGGGGGATCGATCTAAGATACGCAACTTCAGCTACAAGAAGAGCGTAACTGAAGTCGACGTATCTTAGATCGAATTAAAATTACTTACTTTGCATCCTCGCAGCGCTGGATGGACGGCCGCGGCTCCCCCGTCGACTTTGCTTCCACCTCTCACACTGCTGGAGTTCAGCAGTCGACGGGAGAGCGATCGGGGATCGATTTATCGCGTCTACACTACACGAGAGAAATCGATCCCCGATAGATCGATCGCTACCCGTAGTGTAGACATACCCATAAACAGTTACAACAATGTATGGCCACGTGAGGGTTAACTGAAGGCAGGAGGCAGCCAGAGCTGACACACAGCAGCACCTAGAAGCTCTTCAACCCAT